ATGGAAATCTACTCAATTGCTTCCCTACAAGAGTCTGGGCTCAGGTAACAGATCTTGTTTGGCATGAAAATGAAAACAGAGAAAGTGAAATCATAAAGTGAAGACAAAAATATTTAGTAGCATGCTTGCATTCCTGTTTTATTGAGTCCAGTATTCAATCACAAAATTTTAAAGAAATGAGCACAAAATTACATCTGCCATCCCTGATCTTTATCAACATGAGTACCACACAATATCTGCCTAAGTGTGGGTTAAATTGACCTCATGATACATCTTTATACAAAAGTTGTGCTTTAACTGTCTGCAAGAGGCAGGGAGAGGTGTGAAAGGGGGAGGGATGCTAGGGACATTGGTGGTGGAAAATGTACACTGGTAGAGGGATGGGTGCTCGATCATTGTATGACTGAAACTAAAACATGAAAGTTTTGTAACTGTAGCTCACAGTGATTCAATAAAATATGTTATACTTTTAAAAATTATAAATGTTGGGCTGGAGTGAAAGCACAGCGGGTAGGGCATTTGCCTTGCACATGGTCGACCTGGGTTCAATTCCCAGCATCCCATATGATCCCCTGAGCACTGCCAGGAGTGATTCCTGAGTGCAGAGCCAGGAGTAACCCCTGTGCATTGCCAGGTGTGACCCAAAAAGCAAAAAAAAAAATTGTAAGTGTATATGACTCTGATCTTTGGGGAGGAGGATAAAAGGGGATGGGCCATACCCAGCTGTATTCAGAGCTTACTCCTGGCTCTGTGCTCAGGGATCTCTACTGGAAGGACTTTAGTTGCCATATATGATGCTGGAGATTGAACTCGGATCAGGCATATACAAGACAAGTGTCTTACCCACTGTACTATTTATAAGAACACTCCCTTTGAGGTACCTAAAGCAAGATCAGTTTACTAAAAGATGTTTTGTGTTCAAACACCATAAAGAAAAATAATACTGTGACTTGAAACAAATAAGTATGAAAGAATAGGATTTTTACTGATGATGACCTTTATTATGAATAAAAAAGAAATAACTTGAAAATAAGAGTGACTGACACAGTAGAAAAAAGTTCTTCCATGGTGGAGGAAAGAAGCTACCGAAGGAGGAGAAACAGGTGGTGATTAATATCTAACCTGCACACTCTGGACTCTCTCCATGGTTTCATTTTTAATGTGGTGACCTGCTATCTCTACAGGCAATACCCATCAAACATTACAGCAAAGCTCTCAAGTAACAGGAGCAACAGCACTAAGATAATTGCAAAATAGATGCTTTCCCACATTTTCCTATAAAAAAGCACCTTCTTATTTAAGTTTCTGAAATTATGGATGTGTTCAAGTGATCAGAACCACATAGTAATTCCCAATACAAGATCATGCAACTGAATTCTACAGAAGAAATAATTTCTTGACCACTTTTCTCTACTATTTCATCTCGATCAACAGCCCTGATACCATATACTATTTGGAAATTGCTCTTTGAGCTGAAGAAAACACAACAGAAGAGAGTTAAAATGTAGATTCAAGAAGCCATTAGTTTAAAAGGTGATGAAGCAAATGTCTATAATTCCAACAAACTCAGAGTGCATGTTTTAAAGAATAAGCACTTCATGAATTAAACTCCCTATTTCTGGTCATGTGCTCACATGTTTATTAGCGACAAATGCCTTTGAGTCTGAGTGCTTTTAGGCATAAATCTGAAGTAACTCAATCATGAGTAAGCTTTAGGAAATGTGCATAATTCTTTTTAACCAAGAACAATCTTCGCAATCTCTCGGGTATTGGAAGATGGCTCTCAATAAGCAGTTCATTTATTTCCATGCACCTGTGATTTTGTTCCTAAGTGGTCTGAATGGTTATTGAGTATCTGGTTCAAAATTGGGACTTCTCTTTTCCAAATTGCTTTGCTCCCATTTCATTTAGAGGTGAATAAAGAAGACACCATCTGATGGTGTTTTATTTTTAAAACCATGCTACCTTCAATATAGCACTTGAAGAGAAAAGAGAGGTAATTATTTAGCTAGTTGAGTGGGAAGTGAGAAAGAGTTAATTCTTCTTGATTAAAAACAAAGTAAAAGTTGCATCTTACATATTTTTGAGGCAATCCAAGGACACTTTTTATCCATTCTTATACAATACTATTATTGTTGCTGATAAGTCATTATCTGTAGCAATATCTCATACATACCATATTTCAGTTTGACAGTAACGTGTACAAAAAAATGTTTTCTTTCTAAACACAATTCAATCATTTTGTTTTTTAAATTATTGTTGCTGAGGTAATATAGCTAAGAAAGTATTGATATTAATGCCAATGAAAATATTTCTTATTACCTCTTAAAACATCCTAACACCTGTTGACTTTTTAATTGTTTACAGCTCTAAACCGTTCAGTCAGAATGAACAGATTTGGGCCATTGATTCTACGTCTATCTGAAGACTACATGAAGTAAGATTCTAATGAGCTAATATTCAACAGGGAGATTTCCCCTAACTTAGAAGTTTGTAAATGGGAAGAAGTTGCTTCTACCCATGACTGTCAATCACCAAGGATAATCTATTCATTTATATTTTTAGTCATTTGAACTATGATACGACTCTAGCTAAGTGTCCCACTATTATCCCAAGTCCATTAAAAAAGAGTATGGTTGCTTAAAGCTAACTCCTTGGGTCAAAAGAGTTTGTCACTATAGCAAACAAAGAGTTTGTAAGATTCTTCTAAGACATAGGTACTTAATCACATCTATACATAAGTTGAGTTTCTTTGCCATGAGCATCTTTGTACACAATCAATCCCCTGCTTTAGAGAATCTCTCATGGTTTCAGTCCATTAACCCAAGCACAGCAGCTCAATGAATTAATGCTTATATAGGCACAGTTGGCAGCTTCTAATTAAATAATTATGGCTAAGCAGCTGCACGGAAGCTGTTATGCACCCTAGAAAGCCAGCTGTCAGTTTTATTGGTCCTAAGACAGAGGAAGAGTTAATACTTCACTCTGGGTGCCACTGGATGCAAAAGGGTAGTCTGTCATAGGAACTATCCATGCTATCCAATATGAAATCCCTGTGTGTTTTGTGCCAGCCTGTCTATGGAGTGATGGAAAATAAACTGCTCCTCAGTAATCTCTCAGCACTCCACCAGAGAAGGAGATAATGAGATGATCAGAAGAACAGAGGGAGTCTGTCCAGAGAAGTTAAAGAAAACATAGCGCTAGATAAATGAGCTTTGATACATACAGAAATGCCACTGGGCTAGTAGGCAACTTTCACATTCTGGGTCTTGCTTCCATGAGCAAGCAGTTAGAAATCTAGTGTGGTCTTTTGATGGCTGAGGGTTGGTGTGCTAGTACTTATTTGTTTATTTGATTGAGGCTTCTTAAGATGTAGTTCTCAACTATGAGAAATTGGAGGCCAAGACAAATAACACAAAGCTACATTTGAACTCTTTCTAAGATGTCTATTGTTGAAAAGTTTGAAAATATATTTGTTCTGCACAATCATAGGTGATGTCAGATTCCTTTCTAGGAAGCTGGGAGGTAAAATCTTATCTCTACACTAGTGGTAATTCACTAAAAGGAAGGAAACAAGTCTGGCCTCTCAGCCCCAGCACAGAGATCTCAGATTAGAGACAAAGGCCAGAGAGAGGGTTATTGGACCAAATAATTTTGTTATTACATATCAATACTAGCTGATTTCATTTTCTCTACAAGCTGTTCTTTTTAAGTAGTCAATGTGCCTTTACTTCCCAAACCCAAATATGGGATAACCCACTATAGAACCACTTAGCATTTCTTTGGCCTTCTCACCAAGGTCTCCAGTAGCACCACCTCCAAAGGAGTAAACCCAAGTGCCAACAAAAGTTAACCCAAGAAACCTAGTTCTAAGTTTATAATTTCATAAATTTAGACATTTTAGCTTCTCAAGTGGATATTTTAAAAATTAAGAATAAAAAAAACAGAAATTAACTCCAGAAATACAATTCTTATGAGAGTCACTTCCCCCTACTTCCCAGTGAGGCCTGCTTGAAAATTAACAGTTTAAACAGGGTGTTTCATAGTTCTCCCTGCAGAGACCAGTGGCTTACGATTTATTTAGAATAATGCCATTTCATAAAACAAGGGAATCTGTATCAACAGCTATTAATGAAGCAAATAGACTGATCTCTAAGAAACCATTATTTTTAAAGCTTCAGTACAATTAATTTTTTTCTTTTCCTCCCCCCTTACTCCCCCCTCAGGCTCCTTTTCTTGTTGGTAATTCTAGGACCTCTGTGTTCTGAGGAACTGGTATGTGACTAACAGTTATCAAGGATCTAGTTCCTTTCGGATTATTCTTAAATGAAGTTTGATATAATTAAGTCTGCATTGCAGCTCAAATCTCAGTTAAAAAATGCAAAAGAATCAAAGAGCAGATGTGTGTAGCTCATAAAAGCAAATCTGAGACTGGGGAGGGGGGGAGGGGAGGGAGAGGGGGCTTTTCATCAGTCTATACTGCCATCTAGCCAAGACCTCATTGTTCAGTGCAACCTCCAATTTGCTTTTTGCAAAGCCCCTGACGGACGGACGCAGATCTCAACAACCAGCTTGAGAGACCCCAAAGGTCAGAGAGAAGAGTCGACAGCAGCAGCTCATTGGCTGTGAGTTCATCAACTACCAGTGGGTCAACAGCCAAGTTTGAATCATTGATCTAATCTCCACAATTCAATATCCAGCAGACGTGTGTCTATTCTCACACTATATATTATCTATACCAATACCATTTGCACAGTGTACTTTTGGAAGCCTTTGAATATTTCATGACCTCCTTAGGGAAAAAAAAAAAGAAAAGAGTAAGAATTGCCATAGGCAAGACACAGAGCTGAATGATAACCTCTACTACTTCAGCTGTAACTCAAGAGTTAAAAACAAAAATCCCCAAATGATATTGCATAGACAAATTGAACATGCAGACCATATACACCCATAAAGACAATCACTGGATACGAAAATGGAATCAAACCCTTTGTACTTACGGTAGAAGACATATTCAGTGTAGCTTGACCAGATCTTGTCATCTGTATATTGGTTAATGAAAGATGCTGTCACTGAGGAATTACAGGCCACCATGTGGAATCCACACTCTGACAACATATCAAAAGCCCTTTCCAGATGCTTGAATTTGAGATAAAATCTGGAGGTGTATCTTTCTGGGGCTCGGTCAGGGTCTCTGCTCTCATTCAAAGTTTCTCCAAAGACTTCCTTGGCCAAGGAAATCCTTCCACAAACCAAAATCCGGGGAACTCTTCGAAATTTGGCATCTGCCTGCCCCTCTCTGCCCATGGTACAGGAGCCTCTGTAGCCCACAGTAATGAACCCCCATTTGCGATCGGCAGGGAGCAAGGAGGAAGGGGGGCAGATTCTCGTGTCACTGCCTTGGGAAGCATCTTCAAAGTCACTATGGCAGAATTCATCGGGGCTTTGCTTCACTTCTTCAGGGGTCAGGAGTTTGACCAAGTCAGGCAGCTGGAAGTACTCAGCTTCCCTTTTCAGCCTTCCTCTTTCTGGAAAGTGATCAGGCAGGACCACCTGCCTATCCCTGAGATAGTCTAGAATATAACGGAACAAGAATCCATCTCTGTCAATGAAAAACCTTCCCTTGGAGTCCTTGGCTAGATCATTCGCGGTGTCTCTCTTGGGGGAAAACATTTTCCACAGGAGAGAATGAGGGATGCTTATCAATGTGGAATGACGAGTGAAATAAACTTGACCCCCGACATTCAGCTCCACCACCTCAGGGAAGGAGTTGGGGATGGTGGAGCCTGGATCCCGGGGATAGTACCGACTACAGTTTCCACTCAGAGCCATTGTTCTTGTCTTCTTCACCTATTTGGATGGAAGATACAATCCAATGGAGTCACAGCTTTAGCCTTTTTATCCACATGGAAGGGAGGGAGAAGGAGGCTAACTAGGTCTTAACATCCTCCTCTTAGCCCAGATTTTCGTGTCCCCCTATGAGCCCAATTATTAGAAGAGTCCACAGGTGAAGCGAAGCTGTAGATGAAGCTTAAACCCTGGCTGGCGGCGAGCAAGAACTTCACAGAATACAATCAACTCTCCGTCTTCCCCCAAGATCAGGATTCGAAGAAGGCCAAGTCCCTGGTTCCTCAGCTCTGACTGAAAGAAGAGAAAGAAAATTATTTCCTCATATCCAACAAGAGTCAGGGTAAGACCAGTGGAGAAAGGAGAGAGGGAGAGGGAAGGAACGGAAGATAGGAGGGAGGAAGGGAGAGGTTATTTTACATAAGCAGCCCTGGAACTCCTCATTCCAGCCTTTCTTCAACTAAATCCCAGCTTCTCCCATTCTATTTCTCTGTCTTCATGCTTTTGTCCATATGACTCCGTCCCCAGCAATTGGGATTAGAAACATTGTTTTTGGCATAAAAAAAAGTACAGTGCCATTTTCAACTTCTAAAACAAGGTGATTTGTCTGGGGGGAGAAGCAATGAGCCTCAGACCTTACCTTGGCGAGTGCTGGAACCCCAGCTGTTGGGAAGAAATACCCATTTGCAAAGCAGCCAGAATCCACAGTCAACTGAGCCTGGAGCTTGTCAAATCCCCAAAGAGGTGAAGGACAGAGGTATCAATGAAAAGTGCTAGAGAGATGTGCTCTTTGAAAATAAGAACCGTATATCCTAGATATAAATATGGATAGAAATGTATGTTGCCAAGGCTGAGCATGTAGCTATTCACTCCCAAATTCAAGTTAAAACAAGTCACCGAAAAAAGTTAATCCGTGAGGAGAGGTGGTTGATTTGAAGAAGCGAAGCAGAGAAAAATATTCAGCCAAAGAGCTTCTCCGGAGGACAAGACGTTTTGCCAAACGCAAACGCTTAGAGAGAATCCTTCCAGCAGAAGAGAGTTTGCGAGAGGTCCTGGGACTTAGAAGCTTTTCAGAGAGCCCAGACACGGAAAGATGCCCCGCTGAGGTCCCAGGTAGCCACCCCACCTGCCGGCAAGGGCGAAGAGATTCCCATGATCCCGGCCGGTGATTGCCGGGGGCCGCCGGCCACCGCGGCGCGGGGACACCCGCGGGGTCTCTCCGCTTCTGCTTCTCCGGCGGCAGCGGAGCTGGGTGGTTCCACCGTGCAGTTCCCGGTGCAGTTAGGATGCTGTTGTTTCAGCAGTGCAGGCAAGAAACCATCCAGGGAAATGACTATTACATCATCTTAAAGGAATATGGCTGGGAGAAAGCCGAGGCAGCTGCGAGTCACGTCCTTCGCGGCGACAGGTCGCCTGGCCGGGACCGCGCGGGGAAGGGACGTGGCGCTCCGGGGGCCGTGCGCACGCGGCTCCCGGGCGGGCGCTCTGGGGTCGGGGCGGGACGCGGCGCTGCGCACCTCTCCCCTCCTGGCCCCAGCCCGCAGCATGCAGAGACCTTCGCTGTGCCCTTTCTTCTTGCCTTTCACGCCACCACCACGCAGCCCCCCAGAAACATACACACACACACACACACACACACACACACACACACACACACACACACACTCACTCACACCCCTCCCCAGCCCAGTGGGGGAGAGATACTCATGAGTTTCTCTCACTGGGGCTGGAGATAATCTGGAAATCTACCAACAACCCCTTTGCACGTCGTGCACTTAATTTCTGTGAAAGACACAATTTTTCCCTTCGGAAGCTTTGTTGGTTTTTGCTTATGGCCCCAAAGTGGCTTGAGCCTGGTGGGGAGGTGGGCCGGGGGGCGGGGGGCTAGGGTTGGGGGAGATTGAACCTTAGCCTCTTAAATGCCCTTCTCTTTCTCTGCCCCTGCCTGCTTTCCCCATCACCAGCCTCCCAAAACAACTCACCAAGTCGCCAGTGAATGCATGACTGGATCAAGCCAGACAGCCCTGGAATGAATGGTGTTGGTCCAAAAGGAATCCATGGAGCCCTTCAGAAAAACTCAGTTTGTCCTGGGCTTACCTTCCCGGCAGGAAATGGTCACCTATCATCATTGTCGGGGTCTGTTTCCTTAACTGAGCATCTCTCTGGGTGTGCCCTTGTCTCTCCAGGTCATCCCAAGAGGACTCCAGTGGAAGACACGCCTGAAGGAGCCATTTCACTCCCGCCCCAGAGGGATCCCTTAAGTGCATCATTAGAGTTTCAGGAAGGCATTTCCAGGGCAACCTAATCCACTAACAAAGTGCTTCCAGTTGATTCTGCCAGTCAGTAATGGCCCAGCCAACAGCTTACAGTAAGTCAGCCACCATCATTTCCCCTTTAAGACTCCACCACTGTCTTCAGACTCACAATCCTAATTATATGGCACTCCACCCATGAATAATATATGTGAGGTACACTACACTCCATTCCAAATAATTGTCATTTTTTTAAAAAAAAAAGTAAAAACCATAAATAGAAAGGAAAGTAAACAGATACAATGCATGGAACACATGGGTTTACGACCAACTCTTGCCCCAAGAATTAGCTTGTAGATATTTAGAAGGAGGATCAATTAATTTCTAATCCAACCTTCCTTTCATTCAATACATATCAGGTTACTAAACACATTCAGAGCATTGGCTAACGCTCTAACCCCTGATTATATTTGACTTTGTTTCTTTAACTAAAGTATTAACCTGTTCTGGCCTCAATCACTGGGATTTTAATGCTGCCCCTATCAAAAAAAAAATGCTTTTTATTTGATGCACTGATATCACCATCTAGTGGCTGTATACTCTCACTACAGCTCTGTGTGTCTGGCAATTGAAAACCACCACAAATGTTAGATTCACTCAATTTTCTCCTTTAGTGGTGGTGATTCAAATATTATCTGATGCGACTGTTCACTGTAAAGACAAATTAAAACTTTGGTTCTCATTAAATAAATGGAAAATGTGAATCAGATACTATACCAGGTAAGTGGTTGCATTGGCTATAGTTTAGACTGGCTGTAGCATAGAATGTTCTTTCTAACACAGTAGCCAGTACACCGTGATGGTAGCATGGCAGATCAGGTATTAAATTAGTTTGGGTCAGTTTAGCAGATGTGGAGGCTGAGAGATGTGAACACAGTCTCTTAAAGCTAAAGAAATTTTTAGCTTAGGTATGGAATAAAACCACCTTAAGACTCAAATCTAACAGCCAGAGAAGGTCAATGTCCAGGAGGCTACACACTGGGGAGTGACAAGGTGAGGTGTAATCCAGTGCCCTGATCCCAACATCCGGGATTCTACTCTAGAGATGAAAAGGTGGAAAGAGGTGTAGAGGAAGGAAGAGGGGGAGGAGTTGGAGGAGGAGGAAAAGAAAAGAAAGAAGAGGAAGAGGAGGAGAAGGCAAGAGGAGGAGGAGAAAGAAGTAGTAGGAGAAAAAGGAGTAGGAGGAAGAGGAGGAGGAGGAGAAAGAGGAAGAGAAGGAGGAGGAAGAGGAGGAGGAGGAGGAGGAGGAGGAGGAGGAGGAGGAGAAGAAGCAGAAGAAGCAGAAGAAGCAGAAGAAGCAGAAGAAGAAGAAGAAGAAGAAGAAGAAGAAGAAGAAGAAGAAGAAGAAGAAGAAGAAGAAGAAGAAGAAGAGGAGGAGGAGGAGGAGGAGGAGGAGGAGGAGGAGGAGGAGGAGGAGGAATAAAAAGAGAAAGAGGAAGAGGAAGAAGAAATAATAAAACAACACATATTAGAAAAAAAGATTTATATAGCAGCAGAGTAAGCCAGTGTGACTCCAAGAGGTTATCAGTAAGCCCCACTTTTTGGTACCTTAATAAGAGGCAAGAAGCCAAGCAGAGGCTTTAAGTGAATTCCTGTCCTTCTTGTCAGCAGATAACAGTGCTGGGATAATTCTCTCCTGGCAGTCCTCCATTGAAACTCTGTAAGATGACACACTGGGCCAAAGGCTGAATGTACAGCAACAGATTTCCCTTAAGGACAGAGCAAGGAGCATCCTATTCATTTAATATTCGAGCCCATATTGAGACCTGTCATAGATAAATTAGGGAGGTGATTAATTGTGTCTTAGCCTCAGCTTCCTGCTGTCCATATTCACGGGCCCCATTCACCCTGTGTGTATCTCAAAAGGACAATTTAAATTTTGAAATAATGTGATCACTTCCCCACATCCTCACCCTCTTCCATATCCTTAAGTTTCCTCTCCCCTTTAGCAGAGATAGATTTTATGCTGACTGTCTGTTTTCAAGGAGGAAATGGATCTCATAAACATATTCATAGTAATAGACTGTGCACTTACTGTTGTAGGTGCCTCAAAGGCTCTCATATTCTCACCACGATAATAATAGCTTCTGTTTATGGAGGAGCAGCTGTTAATCCTTGAACCAGCTCTCTTCCAGCTCTGCCTGACAGTGTGACATGGAACAGGAGACTTCATGTCTAAGAATCAAGAATAAACAGAATAAAGAAGACTTGCTCCCCAAGTATGTTGCGCTGATGACATGCAATATGTATGGAAGACACTTAGCAGTACTCTGGATCTGGAGAGTGTTTAGTAAATACCAGGGCTAGGTGTGATGGCAGTTGAAGTACTATTTTCATTGTTGTTAGGCTCACATCAAAGCATTCAAAGCTTATGAAAGATACCCAAAAGTGCAATTCTTCTTTCAAAACCCTGCTCTTTTCTCTGTGCAGTTTAGTAAAGAACATTGTTGATCATAAGTGTAGTCTTGGGGTATTTGGGACTTTGGTGAAGGAGATGGGAAGACAAAATGGATAACTGAGAAAATAATCAACTTCAGAAGACTAAACATGAAAATGCAACTATCTTTGATGAGGCAAAGTTACATTTCTGGTACTATTTCATTAGTTCTATTAAGTATCTACATTGTGGTCAACACAGTGTGAGTTACTTAATAGACAAAGCTTATTTCAATGCAATCTCTGAATGCAATACCCTCCACCTCTCTCTCCCCTCTCCCTCCCTCCATCTCTCTGTTTCTCTCTCTCTTATAGAGAGGGGCCCATGGATGAGGCTTAGTCATGGAATACCATCTTTACGTACATGATGCATGCAAGTCATATTCTCAACACTACTGTTTGTATCCACGGCACTACAACAAATATAAGATACTCAGCAAGCACCACAACCAAGTACAACTAAATGTCAGACTATATAGCCAGGTGTGTGCAAGCACTATAAACAAGGATGCTACTCTTAAATGTTGCAACAATACAGGCAAGGAGTGGAAAGGTTTTAGATGATTGTCTCTCATTTTCAGAAAGCACACTGCTTTATTTAGCTTTGGGTCCTACAATGTGCACATACGATTTGAATGAATCACTTAACCTCAGGCGGCCTCTGGATTCATATCTATAATATGAGTCTGCCTTCTCTTATAAAAACAAAGTGACTGATGACAAAATAAAAGCCTAGTATAGCTACCAAACCTCCAGAGAGAAACGAGGAAGTCATTTTCTATGCTTACACAGAGAATTAAGGTGGCAAGTGGTGATTTTTCTAGTTAACATAAAGTCTTCTAAGAAAGAGTTTGGATTAAATTTATAAGATCATAAAGTTCAAAGAGGAGAACTTTCAAGATCATCTGATCAGGCTTCATATCCAGCTCATAGCAAACCTTTGGTCTAGTCAGTTCTCTCAGTCAGTCTCTCCTGAAATGTAATTTGATAATTTAAGCTATTCCTATCACCATGGTGCCTTTGAATGGGGGTCTGTAGAATAAGTTATTCCAAGTAAACTGTCACTTTGAGGTCAAAGTCTTATGTCTTATTAGAAAGATCTGAAACAAAAACAGCCCTTTAAGGAAAGAAAATGATTCTACTTTCTGCATTAGTAAGATCTGTTGGTTTGGGGGAAGTGATAGGTTGCAGAAATATACACTTTTTTCTGTAATTGACAGAAGTATGCTCACCATTTGTGTGTGTGTGTGTTGTTGTTGTTGTTGTTGTTGTTGCTGTTGTTTTGATTTGTTTTGTTTTCAAAACAAGCAAGTTTATCTGGAACAAATGGTCAAAGTTAGGAGTGCTGGTTTGGGCCATGCAGTTGAGTAAAAGCCAACTTGCATGTATGTGTTTTGAAACTTTGATCTTATCTACATAAAACCTAACCAACACAAATACAGACTCCAAAAGGATTGGCAAATAGGAGGGAAAATAGAACATAGCTGTCAGCCTACCAAACAAGTGGTTCCAGGAAATATACATGCAGTTTTGAAGAAATGGCTGTAAAACAGCCTCCCTGACACCCTGTCCTCAGCAGTCTGTTTTACAATGTTGTATTATTCACTGCATGAGACTTGTTAAACATGCTGTATTATACATGTTGTCATTGTCCTCATTACGGCTGCCATATGTTCTATAACATATCTCTTGTTAAAAGAGTAGTACAATTTGTTGCCAGTGATTACCAATATTTCATCTCTTACCTGGGAAACCTGTTTGTCAAATGGCCTCTTTATAGTATACCAAAACATGCAACATGAGTGCAAACAGAATCAACTCAGAAGAAAGCTAAGATAATAAGGTCAACAACACTTACCT